GCTGACGTAGAACTCGGAATCGGAGACGTAGGACCCTAATCACGCAGACCAGTTAGTAACATGGGATCCAAAATCCAACAGTCAATATTACAGAAGAGAATGTAGTTGCCTTTGGATTGGGCCTGAACGACGAGGCGTTCGCATTGAGCCTGTTTGCGGTGGTGGTGGGCGACGTAGGCACGGCAGCGCCGTTCGTTTGGGCCGCCGGGCCAGGCAATGGCGTGGTTGAGCGCCTCGCGCCTTTGAATGGGGGGATGGGCTGTATGTACATATTGACCGCGTTCTTCTTGCCGAGTTCACTGGGCTTCGTAGCAATGGGTTTGGCGACAGAGGCGGAGGTACCAGCGACGGGCGCCTTTGGGATGGCGGGCGGAGCAGGAGTAGGCTTCGCGGTTGCCGGAACGATCTTGTTAGAGGTGGAAGTCGGCATACGAGACACGCTAGGGGACGTATTAAGAGTAGCAGTGACACCGATGGCACGAGCGGTGGTCGAGGCAGCATCCACTGAGGCCTTCTCCCGAATCTGTCGCTGTTTCTCTTCATCCTTGGCAAGAATAGGGACCAAATCATCCGGGATGGGCTTGTTCAACTAGATGGAGCTCAATAATTGAAACCAGTAATAGAAAGAAAACACCACAACACTGACCTTGAACGTCTGGCTAAATTTCAGCAGCTCAGCCTTCCGTTTGTCCATCTCACTCTTAACAAGCGCCTGCTTCTTTTGCGTCAAGCGCTGTCTCTCATTCGTCACAAAGTCACGGAACGCCGGCAATGGATCCGCCGGGGGCTATCATCAACCACAGCAAAGGAGTGATCGTCAGCAACCCATCAATCTCAACCCATCAAACGCCGTAGCACAACAATCCGAATCGAAACAAACAGATCAAGATCGGAAGGGGTTGCATACCTTATTAGAAGCCGATGATGTTGATGGTGCAGGAGAAGGAGACTTGACAGCAAGAGGCGCAGCGTCCTTTGCAGCAACAGGGGTACCGTCGGGGCCATTGACAGATACTTTAGGAACATCTTTTGGAGGAGGACTCGTTCCCGAGGCTGGTCCAGTGGCCTGTAGTTTGCGAGCACCTGGTGGAACGTAAGCGTTCTGCCCTCGAACAACAGCACCAAATCTAGAAGCAATGACATCAGACAAATGCAGACCTGACACCGGATGGACATACTTGTCTTCCTCGTTCACGCCGCTATCGTCAACATTCAAATTCCTTTCCTCTGCTACGTGAGGATTGTTTACAGCGCCCTATCAGAAGAGTTAGCCCATATTAAGATAAACCTAAAACACCTCAGACATACGTTCAATATTTCGCTAGCAATGCGCTGAGCCTTGCGCTCCTTCTCTTTATAATCAGCAGCCGTCCGATCCAACTTAGTGGTGTAAACCTCCTCGTCAAAAGTAGTCGTAACGCCGAACATTTGTTCATTAGCCGCGAATTGATCCCAAGATGTATTAGCGCCCGAGCCTGGGCCAAAGGTGACTTCATCGCTGAGACCCTCATGATGCACACCCGCTGGAGGTGGAGAGCTAGCAGCAACAGCAGCAGATGCAGCAGATGCAATTGGTTGCCATGCTTGGAGTTCCCGTTCACGGGCTGACTTGTTCTTGCTGATATCCGCATCTGTTCTGAAAGCTATTCCACAGCAAGTATGGAGATCAGCATCAAGGATTCAGGGTTGTGGGATCAGCTTCCTGTAGAAGAGCAGGAAGCTAATGCAATGTACTCACAGTCACCATTTGGAACTGGCATCTTAGCGTCAGCGGGACCGGACTGCCAAGTGTCGATGTTAGTGGAGGGGATGAAAAATGACTCCTTGAGTGGTGCGCCAGGCTTTGAAATCTCCTTGACGTCCTTGAGGATGATACCACTGGTATCACCCTCACTAGCAGTAGATGAAATGACGCCCTCATATCGCTGAGCAGTTTTGGTGGTCAGGGTAATAGTTGTGCCCTAAAAATATAACCGTTAGTGAACGAATTTGCGCGGGGACGAGAAGAATGGAAACACACAGTAAGACCAGAAAGAATATGAAGAGGACGGTCCTGGGTAGGGTCGTGAATGCGAGAGCCATTAGTCTGAGCACCTAGTGGAGGGAAGCCCCCCTGATTAGCTGAAGGAGGGAGACGAGCCGGATTGTTCGTAGGTGATAACGTGGAATTTGGCCTTGTGCCGGTCTGCCAAGCAGGACGACTGAATGGAGGTCAATAGATGTATTAGGTAGGTGTAGTGTGATAGGACTTACCGAGGAGGATCTGCCATTCCCTTCCCTCTTGGTTTAGGCTGGCGAGCGGTAGTTGCCATCTGTGAATCCGTTGAAAAAGTAATGAAATAAAGTGAACACAAGTAATGAAATGCAGCAGACAGATAGGCTACGACGAGGACGCGACTAAAAGCCGCTTGCCCACTGTGAGTTAAAACCTAAGCTTAAGCTCTGCTTGTTTTGTTTAGAAAAAGAAAAGTGAAAGAAGAAGAAAGGTACCAGCTGCTGTCTTGAAGCTGGCGCTGTAGGAGAAAAAGCGAGCTAACCCAGAAGCTTCAACGTCGGAGACGGCGTCGACGGTGAGTCGTCAGTCAGTTCAAGAGTCAATATCCTTGAAACCCAATACACCCGCGGGAAATATCTAAATCATGCTCCCCGGATACCCCGATCTTGTAAAATTCTACCAAATCTTAAAATCATTTCAATGAACACTGCCTACACCACAGCTTTCTCTATTTCTTCAATCAACCGTCCATTTCCGTCTCGAAACACACTCATTGCTCCTCGATGATCATCTCTCCAGGCTCAAACACAGCATACCCGGAGTTTGAATATCGCTCTCGGGGTCCTTACCACGAGGAGTTAGCTCTCTTCAAAGCTCTAGAACAACAATCATGCACACAACGCCCTGCACCAGATTCACCAACAGATAATACCAGACTGACAGAGTCCGCTCCGGCTCGCCAAGCGGGACCATTTTGATGCATCGCGACGCGATCGCTTCTTCGACATGACATGTCAACATAATAATAGTCAGCGAGCTCAGAAACATCCATGGAGAGGAGAAATCGCACCGGTTGAGAATAATAAAATCAATCGAACTTGTCACAGCTCACCCAGCGGGTTATTTTGTGTGATACTTGGAGGTGTCCCGAGGGGAATTGAAAAGCGAGAGGGGTCCGCAGCTTGGGCTCTAGGGTGTATGTGACTCCCTGACTGTTATCCCTGGCCGAATAGCGTGGGACGGAACCGCAGGCAGAGGCAATCTATCAAAAGGCCGCCAGTGGATTGATTCATTGAAGCTGCTAGTCATCGACCAAACTCACACCCAAAATTCCGGAGAGATAGCTGCCCTGACATAAAACTTATGTTAAAACGTCCAAGAACCAAACATGCAATGACCTGATGAAAGGATGAGTGAGTACCAAAGTTGCGCCATAAGCGACCGCTTGGAAACAGTCCAAGATAAAGAGACATGCCGTAATGGCACAAGCATATATAGAACTTATATTGCTTATATGACCCTTCGAATTGGCCTCATGGCCTGAGGACGCCCCAGAAGACGCGAAGCTGGTTACGGACGTTCAATTCATGGATCCCGCTAAAGTGGTATGCACGTTGCCTGTATTGAATTGTCAACCCAAACGAACACGTAGGGTTCTGAAGCGAGAGATACAGCTGGGGGGAGAGTCCCAGTCCCAAAGCAGCGCACTTTTCTACGGCACAAGAAAGAGGTGCCATCGGAGTACACCGCCGCTATGCCATTTCGCGTATAAACCCAAATTGCAATCAGAAATAGATCACAAGGAGCGCATAGAATGTGGCTTCTAAGGATCACGTGAAGGAAGGCGATGGACGGTGAGACCTCTTGCCTAGGAGATAGAGCTTTTGCAAGGAAAACTTCCATCATCTATTTGTGTGCTTCTTAGCTTTGAAAAGAACGAGTCCGACCGATGATACTATTATCCGGAAAACTTTCCAAACTTGTATGTTTTAGCGTGTCAGCCCGTCAGTAGCGCGGAACGCGCACATGTACAAGAACGCGATCTTCTAACAGCGTTTGCGCTCACGTCAAACACGACATGGCGCATAAAACCAACAGGAATGGGATATGTCACTTGTCATTCCGTTTCCGCGTCGTACCCGAAGATATTTGTCGCCGAGGAACATATCGCAGGAGGAAGAGCGGTCCGATGAGATAAGAGATAAATACGCTTGGCCCTTTGGGTAGAACAGATTCCTGTTACCGTTAGGAATACGCCATGACGAGCGGAAAGTTCGAGTAGCGGTTGCCACTGCTCTGTTGCGTTGGTCACGTCTGAAAGATATCTAGTTCATTGCCCACCAGTTACTGATCGGCAGGTCAAGCTGAAGGCAATAGACTTTCTATGTACAATTTCCGCTTGGGTTGTGAAGAGAATGTACCGGTCGCTGAGTTCTCGGACGTGGATGAATGACATATTCCGGTTCGTCATCAAATACCGAATTTCCATAAGTGCGGAATGTGAGGACCGTAGAAGTGATTTTTTTCTTGTGTTCATAAACGGGACGCCCTCTAATGATGATTGCGATTGACCTACACGGGCTTTGGCTGCTCCGGTGGGTCATATCTTGTCCAGGTAAAGACCAAACATTTTGGGAAGTCATGGTATGACCATGATTCATCATTGACGCGTCACGAACGGCCAGGTATGCCCGTGGTTTTCCTGACCAGACCGCGTCAGAGGGTCAGTCATAGGTGATATTCTGGGGTCAAGTAATCTTACAGTGCCATGGTGATGGAGGGTGGCAGCACGCAAGCATCTGTATCTGCCACGTATACTGCCGCACAAGTCAGCGTCAACACGTCAGACGACAATTTGTGTCCTTGCAATGGAGGCTGGAGCCACCGTGAGTGACGACGAAAGATTTTGGGTTTTCGTTCCGGATGAGGGTCTCCAGGGGCGATGATTATCAAACATATCCATTTATTCTTTCCGTTCTCGGCCAAGAAAATTTGAACGAGATCAGCTCTATTCTTGTTGTTTACTATTACAGCGTGCATTCGCAAACCCCATGACCCTTGCACATATGGCTGCTGAACGCTAAATCATACTGGTGACCTCGCGCTAATTCAAGTGAATCCCAGCCAATTCGTTGCAAACTCGCAAGAAGCTCTCCTCGGAAGAAGTTATTCAAACTTGCGGGGAATCTGTGAGCCTACTACATATGACGATCGTCCAATTCATAGCCGAACCTCACGCGTCAAACTCGGTCAGATCGTCGATCGATTGACAGCCTGCTACATTGCGTTGCATCCGGCGCTTGATTCCTAGTAAATGCATCTTCTCTCATTTCTGAGTCTGGATAGTCTGCACCTGGAATGGTAGTATTCGCCTCATGGGTTCTCACTGGGACCCTGGCAATAAAAGGCCCTTCGACTTGTTCCTAACCTCAGGCTTCGTTCGCTCTTTCACAGCTACAGCCATGTCACACTCCAAAGTTTACCTGAGTGACATTGCCCCAAGGCCTCGCTGGATGACCTCTTGGGAGAGGCTCAAACACAGGGAAGCACACTGGCTCGTGGAAATCGTTGCAGAAATGGTATCTCCTGCCTTCTGTCTGTCATGGCATCCTCAGTTGGCTAACATGCTTCGTGTAGATGGGGGTGTTTCTTTACGTCTATGCGGGTCTGTTCGTTTGACTAGCGCTCGTCTCCCCACTCACGATTCCCGTTTGGTATGCAGGTCTGGGAGCCACTGCTGCATTTATTGTAGGATCTCTCGCAGGGAATAGTGGATTGGGATGTAAGTCTCTACCTTTTTATCCAAGAATTTGTTCACGGCGACCCCACAGCATTATATACGATTGGTTTCGCCTACTCCATGGGCGTCGTGTTTGCCATCTCACTTTGTGCCGCGACCTCAGGAGGTCACTTCAATCCAGCCGTCACAATTGCATCGGTTATCTTCCGAGGCTTTCCCATACACAAAGCAACCAGGTTCGTGATAATCATCGTGCTCTTCAACATCGCTGATGTATTCCTTAGATATATCATAGCACAGATTCTGGCAGGTTACATCACCTGCTTGATCGTCTATGTCCAATGGAAAGATTTGCTCCTGGTACGTAGAATACCGAAATATGCTCGATATTTCGCGGTCTTACTTCTCCAAAGGCTGCAGAGAAGATCCTGGTTGAAAAAGGCTTGTACCACAGCATGATGTTCTCCAGCGCTGGGCCAGCCGGTGTGTTCGGTCTATATGTCACCCCTGGGACGAACCTGGCCCGCGTGTTTATGAATGAATTTGTCACTGTGAATATTCTTATTCATATCCAACTTTGAGCCGAGTATACGTATCTTATCTTACTATCATTTCGTAGGACTTCCTCATCGGCCTTGTCATTTGGGCCACCCTGGACCCCACGAACCAGATGATCCCACCAGCAGCCGCACCTTGGCTCGTCGGGATGGCATAGTACGCATCATGATTATGTCCTCTGTCAATATTAACGCTCTCCTCAGTGCCGTTGCAGTCTGGGGGTACTCGCCTACCGCAAGTAAGTCCCGCACCACATATTCTTATTTTTTCTTGATCTGACTTTCCGGTTCAGTCGCCGCCAACACCGCCCGTGATGTCGGTGGACGCCTCATGGCCATAACCATCTGGGGAAGCCGAGCCTCAGGAGGGACATATGCAGCTGTCGCCGCGCTGACGAATATCCCAGCCACGATTCTCGCCGCTCTGGTGTATGAGCTGTTCTTGGGATCTGCAACGCGGAGTAGGTATATTCTCTTCACATAAGACGCACTGCTGATGGCCTGTCCTCTTGCAGCGCTTACACCGCACCACATTCATTTCCTCCGCGCTCACAAACAGTACTACGAGGACAACAAACTCGCACCATACGGGTACCTCGAAGGGCTTAACCCACGACGCGGCGACCGAGCGGAATCATTCGAATTAGACATGGGGGGGAAAGCGCGAGAGATCCGGATCGACAATATATCTGAAGACCGTGTTTAGAATCGATGGGCAACGAGGCTCTCGAGGGAACACCGCTTGTACGTACTAAATTATAAGACGTGCATGATGATACTTTTGTATGACCAATAATCAGTTTCGAAGTCTTGTAAAGTTAGTGTGTTTGACATACATTGCCCAATCCATGATGTTCGCCGTGCAAGGTCTTGGGGGTCTGAGAGGTTCGTTTTCAGAGATATTTGGGTTTCAGATGCAGCTGCAGCTGCAACATGCAGTGCACGATCAACCATTCAATGAAACTGCCGAAATCTGCGCCTATCAGCAAGTTCGTGCCCATGCGTACTCATCAAGTTGCTCTGTTGTTGCGCTTAGCATATCTACCAGATTTATTGAGCCACGTGTCAGTGGGTGTTCTTTAAGTTATCGACGATGCACCGCGGTGAACGGCGGCAGGAGAACTGCAATTGCAAATGATAGTACCAGTATACCAGATACCATAACAAATACTAATAAAGTTAGCCGATTCTGAATGGCTCAGTTCGCCTGTGTACCAGTGTGGATGTAAAGGAATCCCGAAAAATTTACAGCTTCGAACTCATAGAGGGCTCATCTGAAACTTTAACAACTCTGTATTGCCATATCAGTCTTCTAAGCATATAACGAGGAAAAGACGGAAGATACGCACAATTTTCCTACATTCGCCCCAGAGAAGAGCATAGGCAGCGCACTCGGAGCATTCTGGAGACCTTCGACGATGTGAAACTTGCTTTTTATCGATCCATCAGCAAGTCCAGCTGCTATCTTCTTGACAGCCACCGGATACTGGTCGGCATAATCGAAACTATGAAGAAAGTCAGTAATGTGGTAAAATAATGGTCCTCACTCGCACATACACGATGAAGCCTTGCATCTTGGCACGTTGTGATATGAGCGTCATATACCCCTTAAGACCTTTGGGTTGTGGATCGTCTAGCACACAAGTGATGAGCTTTCAAACCTATAGGTTTCATGAAAACGCTCACTGTAAGCGGATATACCCCCTGCATTTGCACGTCAATACAAGTCCTTGCAGCTGTAGAAATGATGTCACGGACCACACAAAACAATCCTCGCATTTTGATTCAGCCTCGAGAGTGCCAATTCAAGTATGTCGCCTCCAACGTTGTCAAAGTACACGTCCAAATACCCAACAACCTTCGCAAAATCCTCACGGAAAGTAGGGCTCTTGTAGTTGAGCGCTTTATCTACGCCCAAGTCGCTCTCAAGCCAGGCACATTTGTCTGATGTACCTGCGATGCCAATCACACGCGCGCCGGCCTGCTTTCCGAGCTGGCAGACGAGGGCACCGACTGCACCAGCAGCACCCGATACGACTAGTGTTTCACCGGCTTTCAGCTGGCCGACGTCGTAAAGGCCCTGTAACTTCATCAGTACGCTGTGACGCGGCGGCAGGAGCGGAACGGACAAAGTATGCAGTCATGCCTGTTGGTGGACGTGAGATTTGCTAGCACATATGTAAGGTGAAAAGTCAGACCTGTCATGCCCAGAGTGTTCAAAAAGTCCAAGGACGTCGTTCCCGGAGGTGGCCTGTGATTCGTGGTATAAGGACATAATACCGATGCAGAAGGAAGTCTTACGAGATCTTCTCCATTGACTCGTCATCCGCAACTGCATACTCTGTCCATCCTACGCGTAACATAAGGATGAGGTTGGGAGAAAAGAACCGTTCGCGTAGACGCACCAAACCTTCCTTGGACCAGGTCTCCCTTCTGAAACTTGCTCCCCTCGCCCACGCTCACTACGACACCGAGCCCGCCCGAACGCATCACCTCCCCAATTTTCACTGGAGGGACGTAACTTCGCACGTCTCTGAGCCACCCACGCATGGCAGGGTCCAGTGAAATGTACGTGACTTGGACTAGAGCTTGACTCTTGCCGACATGGAGTTCATCGAACGCCTTCGTCTTGGACTCGAACGTATCTGGGAGAATGTCTGCGACGGGGCGTTCGCGAAGGACGATCTGCTTGAAGGTATTGGGAGACATGGTGAACTGTTAAATTTTAATCGTGTCATTGGAAGTTATGGATCAACTCGTCCTTATAAATCAGCACATGCGAATCATGTCCGGGTGCCGGCTCGCTCAAGAATCACGATATTCTACGTACAAAATTCGGACCGCGCGGGGTATATATGTGTCATCTCGCCCTTACATATATACAATTTCCAAGTACGATGTATACCACATAGATTAGTAACACATTATGTCCATGTGAATGATTCATCGCGAGAGAACGCTGTGACGGTAACCTGCTGTAGCGTACGTAGTGCCTGGGCCTGAACGTTTGAACTATCAGACAGCTCGGTAGTTACAGTCCTTACTCATAATGTCATGAGCGGTGAACCTTTGGGGCAGGAAGAAGGCCTAATAGTCCAAACGTGAGTGCATACAAGCCTGACGCTGAAATACAAAACCGAGATCACGTATATCATCGGACAGATTATTGTTCATGAACTTACCCCCTACTACTCCTTCTAGGTATCCCAAACTAGACCACCTCCCAAGGGTAAAGGACAGAAGTGACCAGCCAACCAAGATCGCAGTGGTCAAGATTGGAATGACAGAAGAGAGTATTCCAGAGTCTCGCCAAGACTGGTACTGAGATATTGTCAGTTATGCGACTACAATATTGAAAAGAACTGACATCTGGTTCGAGGCCATGTATCCACGGTACCAGAAGGACGTAGAGGAAAAGTATGATCACAAGTCCTTCAAAGCCTATGGAAGTAAAGGCAAATAGTCTGATCAACCGTAAATATTTATTGAGAAACTTGTCGATTGTGGCCCACCTTCCCCACTGCCCTTTTACACCTTGTCTGGTTAACAACTCCAGAAAGACGCGATGGGTGTTGAATGCATACGTGATTGCAGCTCCGGGGATGATAAATTTGAGCTGACGAACGGTATGCTTGGAAATCATTCTCCCGATAGATTTTATGGACATTTTGAAAGAGTATGATGTGCGACCGGAGCAATGACACGATGCCTACATTGCGTATTCGGATTCAGCGGGTTTCGGAAGCTGTCAACTTATTACTAGTAAGTGAGCATGCCACCGCAGCTTTCCAAACACTGACTTGTTAGTTACACAAGCAACTACTACTAGTGAACGTTTGGCTTTGATCGATGCTGATGGTCCCTGAGAAAGATCATGATGACCACTTAGGACGGTACTGTATATTGTCACCGAAGTCGGGTGTTTGTCTAAACGCGACATCATCATGAAGGTGACCAGTGACCATCTACTAGGCTTAGTAGCTATGCGGCCGTGGTACCAAAGAGAAGTCTGGTAAAGACTTCAAACGATGTGCTCAGAGAGGCACAGCCGTGATTCTCCTGCCACAACTTCTCGTCCCTGGATCCAAGAAAGATGACAGAATTGTCAGGGCTTTATATCAGCATTCAACTCCCAACTTGGACCTGACATTCGATCTACCGAGAAGTAGTTGTAATGGGTCTGGACTCTGCCTCCAGCTGCCTGTAAGTGCTCTCGGACTCTTTTATCCGTGGCCGAGACCACCGGTGAGCGGTCGCGAGGGACTTTGAGACACCGGCCACAGCAAGTTACTTGTTTTTCTGCTTCTGGCGTAGCCTATCCCATGCACTTACCACCAACGAATAGGATCATTCCTTATTGCTGTACAAATCTGCACCGATCTCCGCCACTTTTATTCGAATGCCCCTCTAGTTGGGAGCATTCAAGACATACCTCATGTCAAGCCTGACTCACCTTCACTGAATGGGCAAGAATTATGGTAAAAGCTTCCCGTTTTTCCAAAACCATGTATTTTCATGTCCTTGTGCACAGTGCGCAGGTGATATGTCGCATATCAGTGTTCTGGGGTATGCACATCGTCGCGCTGAACTCCGTCAAAAGTGCGGTGGAAATGCTGGACAAGAAGAATTCTATATACTCTAACCGTCAGGTTGCTCCTAGTATGAGTGGCGAGCCGGAACTTATGGGCTATTCGCAAACTATGGCTTATCTCCAATACGGCGAACGCTTTCGCTCGTTCCGCAAGAATTGCCACCGCATCTTTGGCAGTCGCACTGCCTTGGTTGCCTACCACCCCATCGACGAGATGGAGACCTGCAGATTCCTAAAGCGTGTACTCACGAAACTCGATCGACTGCAAGCATACGTTCGACGGTGTGTATTTTGTAGTACTACTACTGTTAGCTTGATCTTGATTTTTTATAGCACTGCTGGTGCTGTCATTCTGTGCATTTGTTATGGTTATGAAGTAAAGGAGCATGGTGATCCTCTCGTTGACATGGCATAATGCGCTGTAGACCAATTCTGTCGGTATGGCCCCACTGATGAGACTTCCTTGCTCTGGTTCTGCTTTATGCTCTATGCTCGGTGCTCGGTACTCTGCTCTATGCTCTGAAAATGAAAAGGAAAAGAGAAAATTGGGACGCTCTCGCTCTGTTCACCAGTTGGGAGTGGGCTCTGCTAAATGCGTGCGCTGGACTCTACAACAAAGTGATGCCTTGCTACTGCTGCCGGAACTCTACCTAGCGCGCTCCAAACACCGCCAAACAACCTCTATGACCTAACCTCCTCCCTAGGGGTCCCCCGCTCCAACGTCGATATATATTCTCAACTTGAAATACGATGACATGTGGAACAGCACAAGCGATTGTAATTTTGGTGGCAAAAGTTGTTAGCGCTTTGGTCACGAGCGTATGGTTACCATGGGGTGCAGGAGCAGGCATGGGCTTCATCAGCTTCCTATTTTGCGTTGCACGTATCGTGGTTGCCGTGCTGCTAGTTATTTTGACTCCAACTGTAAGGATACCTGTCTCCGTGAAGTCCAATGCTAACAGCTCGTTCAGATTTCAATAGGCGCAGGCGGTTGGGTAGCCTATGGCACACTGATCGTCCTTTGCCTTGTTTATCTTACGTTGTTTCTGATTCTTGTTATCAAAATCATCGAAACTGTTGTGCGCATTCTTGGTCGGGTCGGCTTTGATCACTCCAGACGGATTGATCGGTGTGCTTTCTCTTCTCGGATGTTGCGGGCCATGGAGAGGTGGTCGCGAACGAAGACACTACAAAGCCACGGAAGTACGACATTCACCCGTGGCTCGAGACTCTTTCGCTGCACGTGATTCATCTCCCTATGTGCCACCCAACACATCTTTCGCGCAGAAAGACAAAGGTTCCAGCTCCTCTCATCATTCTGGTGGGCCCCCGCCATCAGTATTGCGACCCGAGCATGCTTTGCAGCCTTACAGAGAGGGATAGTATTGCAGGTACAACCACGTATGCAAGAACATAAAAGTATCTTCTTACTAACCCATATCACACAATTTGTTTTTGTTCTGCAATTATCCTCGCTGTCACGGTTGCTGCGTTGATCCATCAGTCTCCGCCACATCGATGCGACGGCGCTGACTCGGAGAAATGTCCCCAATCGACCAATTGGCATATGCATGTGCTTGTATTCCATGGTATGTACATGATGATGATTTGATTCACGGGGGCTTTACATTGGACCTTATAAACGTTTGAACCTTGACTCCGGATGCCCGCATACTCTATAGATCAACGGCCACAATGCTACCCTTGCTGGACGGCCTGCGTCTCCCCACAACCAGGGTACTACTCACAACCGAGACCTTCGCTTCTCGAGTCCTTCCACCACTCGCATATAGCTTCCCCACAGCTTTTCTTATGCTGCTGCCCCGAACGCAGCCAGTCCGCATTGCGTTGTGGCCCATCACCGCGATCCTTGCATTTCGCGCGGCAACATCGCTAAACATGTCCATGGGGCAACCGGAACTCGCCTTTTTGAATATGCAGCTGCAAGTGAGTTCATGTATTCACATTAATTGCCACACCGTTCAACTTATCTCTCAGCTATCCATGTTTTTTATTGCAGCACGTACTTTTGAATGGACCAGACGAAACCTTTTGTTTGTACGTCTCGCCGATCGTCAACCGACGTGCCAAAGCGGAATTTAGTGCTCGACACAATTGATTTAGTATGCAACCCTCGAGGCTGTGGCTGGGACTGGTCGCAGGGACTGTACATCCCGCCTGAGACACATCCTACATCCTCACGATTGGCCTTTGCTACATCCGCCCTAGTCTCTGGTCTAATGCACTATTTCTTTGTGGCGCGATTCACTCTGCCGTGAAGTCTTTCTCTCCAGAAACATCTGGATCTGTTGATGGTGGTACCATCTTCGACGACTCACTCCCCACACACCCCCGTTATTTACGATCGAGCATCATCGCGACGCTATGCGCATTCACCATCTACTCATTACTCCAAGCCAATTACGAGATCACCGTAGTCATCTGCGTACTATATATTGTGATATATGGCCTTCTACTTTCTTCACCGGTTCACTGATGAATGCCCCCCCTCATTCGACCCTCCCTGGCGCGCCACCTCTCTGAGAGAATTCTGGAGCCGTCGCTGGCATCAGTGGTTGCGTCAGATATTCATTTTCCTCGGGGGAAACCCACTTGCTCTATTCTTTGGGCGTATCGGGGCGTCATGGGCGCGTTTCTCGTCTCTGGGTTTATTCACCACCTCGCAGTACGACCCATCGACCCATCCTCGGAGATGTGGCGCATGGTGCTGCCATTTGGGATGATGGGAACTGGGATGGTCATTGAGCGTGCTGTTGCGGGGAATAAAACAGGTGGCTGGATAGGATGGATGTGGACAATGTGCTGATTAGTGTTGTGGGGGAACGTGCCGGGGATGGGTGGGCAAGAACTGGGTTACTTGGGGGTTCGAGTACGTTGGATAGTGCGACGCCTGTAAGGTAACCGATTGAGCGGCTAGTGAGGACGTTTGATGAGTATCTGCATGCTATTAGCAGAATTAGCAGAAAACCGCGATGACAGAAATCTGTAGACATTCCAGTAGCTGATACTCAAATTGTGAGATATGAGAGCAGCTAGTCCAATGCAAATTTCTGAATGCTAGTGGACGATGTTCATCGAAATACGTAGTCAGTCCCATGCAAATTGTCTAGGTATACGCCCCGTTTCAAAAGCGGTCACACACTGACACATGCACTTGGATCTGAACTCGGCATCTCGTCCCTATAACCGGTTGACACCAGGACATGTGAACATAGGCTCCAAAATGACAGCGCTTCATCTTCAAACCATACAATCCATGATCATGCCGTTGATGTTGATCGATGAGGCCATGAATTGATATGTGTCATAGCGAGAACCAACCGTTAGCAAATATAGTTGTACCGAGACGACACGGTGGCTGGATGACCGGCTGATGGCACGCAATAGTCGATCACCAATTGACTCCAACCGCGTGCCGCTTCCACGTCTCAAAAGTCCGTCAAGTAGCACGGACGGAAAAAAGGATCATGCAAATACCAAGCGCATTACATTCATGAGAACAACTTGTTGACCGACGTATTACCCTCCTGGTTCTTTTTGAGCACCTTTGCAATAGCGAACTCAAAATCTTCCTGCGTAACATGTTGCCGCCGCTCCCGCAACGCGTACATACCTGTGTCCTTGATCAACAAACGCGAAGATAAAGACCATCAACGTACGCACCTGCTTCTGTACATATACCGTGCACTTCGGCGCCTGAGCACTGGCCCATTTTCTCGGCGAGTGCTTTGAGGTCGATACCGCGTTGCAGTGATATCTAAGAATAACTATGTTCTAAGAATGCCCGCGAGATACAGAATGCAGAGATCTCACCTTGCGAGAGTGGATTTTAAGAATGCTGACACGAGCTTCTGGGCCAGGGGAAGGGAATTCGATCTTTCGGTCAATACGTCCCAGACGAAGAAGTGCAGAATCCAATATATCTACGGCGGCACCTTCGAAAAGTCACTGATGCCTTGTGAGGACCCACAAATCTATAGTACACCTGTATGATCCATAGCCTTGATAACCCTTCATGTTCTTTGTGGACTTGAAAGCTCCAGTACTTCCGAATCGCCACCTTCCGCTGCATGCTGTTGCGGATAATAAGACAGGTGGCTGGATAGGATGAATGTGGACAATGTGCTGGCTGGTATTGTAAGGAAAACTTAAAGTGATGGTGGATGGGTAGGCAAGAGCTGTTATGCTTGGGGGTTCGAACATTTTGGACAGTGCAATGCCTGTAAGACAATTCATTGAGTGGCTGGTAATGACGTTTGACGTCTGCATGTATGTTGGCAGAAAAGCGCAGTGATGGAAATTTGCAGAGGCCCTTGCACTCGAAAGTTTCAGGAGGAAAAGTCGAAGGGGCGATCCAGCTGAGACTGGCCATAGCTCACCGGCCCCTTTTGCGCCCGTGTTTTGCCAAAGAAAGAAGGCGACTCCCAGGGTGGACTCTTTCTCCGGAAGTACCCCTTTGACGAAGGGTGACAAAGTTGCCCATCCACCACGACCTTGGTCTAATATAGACAAGCTGTACTGTAACGAAACTAATTGACAGGCCCACCATGGATAATTCTGTACCGCTTCCCTCCAATCTCCCTAACACAATTCCCTCAGACTCTGAGTTCAATGCTGCATATGACCGGTGTGTGGCCTTGCAGGCTCGGGCCCCTATCTTGCAGTTGGACCCACCACGAAGCCCATCAACCCTCATATGTGCCCGTATCCTGGGTTATATGTTGATATATGCACCAGGTCGTCACAATATTGCAAAGGACATTAGCAGATGTGTTGATGATAATGAGCTTCTCCACCTTGCCCAACTCACTTATGATTATTTCATTTGTTTGTGTGAGTACACCTGTTACCCACTGCATCATGCTTGAATTGACCTTTCAAACTCATAGTCAATGCTGCTAAAAGTCAGACCCATGAATATTCTTTCCTGGACCATACCTCCGGGCCATCATTTGACACTACCAAGGCAGCAATAGCACATATAACGGAGGAGAGTCCAATAGATCAAAGAACAGCAAAAGCACATGTGAGTAGCTCATGTCTCATTCACCCAGTCTGTCTAATTTCAGTCAGGCCCTTGCTCGGGATAACTTTCGTTGTGTTGTTACTGGTGCCATTGATTATGTAGCCTATCACAACAACAAACAGCTTACAGTGGAGGCTTTAGCTCAAGAACTCCCCGTCTTCCACACAGAAGTTGTTCATATTTTTCCAGCCTTCACTAACAAAGGTGAGGACAACCTGAAGGTATGACATTTTTGGCTTTGCAAACATACTCTGCTTAATCCATTCTGCATATAACCAAGCCTGAGTATGCAGCAAATGAACGGACCATGGTAAACCATTTTGCAGGCCATGATATCAGCCAAGAACTTGATGGCATTAAGATCCATTGTCTTGAAAATATCTTGACTTTGGCCATACATGTGCATGCATTTTTTGACAGGCTTGCCTTGTGGTTTGAAGAAGTGGTATATTGCATCATTACAGCATGACAGAGAATTGATGACTGATTGACACCATTACCAGGACACACACCAGGACACACAACACACATATCAAGTATGTGGCAACCCTGCATCTATATGCTCATTTCCTCCTATTGTGACATTCACAACTAGTGATCCTCTTCACTTGCCTCTACCTAGTCCATACTACCTTGGTATTCATGCAGCATTTTGCAAAGTTGCTAATCTCTCAGGAGCAACAGACTGTATTGGAAAGGCTTTTGGGGATATGGAAGAAATATCAACTATGGCATCGGATGGATCATCTGCAGATACTTTGTACTGTGCTTTGATTCATGCACTCCTAGCTAAACCAGTATTTTGAAAGTCAGGTGTTTATCTGTAGATACTGTTGGTGTTACACACTCAAATAGATCTGTTGTGTGAGGCCCTGAGAGGGGTGTCGCTCGTGAACATTTGTGACATAACCAGAAGGATCTGGTATAGTGAGTGATACTGGCAATGAACGTCAGCAGAGATCACACACATGCATGTCATGTGACTTCGAGGACTTCCTCAATCTACCTCCTGTGTGTTTGGTTCCTTGCATGTTTTGCTGGCCATTGAGCTTCCTAGCCTTCTGAATCCTTGATGGGCATGTCGCACCTGGAAGTGAGAGAAAATAAGCCATCCATGCAAGAAAATATGGTCCAAAGCGCCACCCGCAAGCATTTGTGCCATTGTGGAAGTGGTGAATGGTGGTGGCTGGGAGTGCGCAAAGACGCAGGTGATGTGGCAGGCACTTGTTGTGGTGCCGCGGTTGATGGTCTCAATACCAAGTGACATCGAGAAGTAGGAGGGCATGAAAGATGGGGTGTGGCATGAGAGAACAGGTGGGAGAGAGTTAGCATGAGAGAACGGGCAATGCCATATCTCTGCAGTGTACTTATTTTAATAGAACAAAATTGGAGGGACGACGAGTGACTCATATTTTCATCTTGAGCAAGAGGTACTTCAATGGTCGTCAGTGCATGTGGAATGTCCTCCAGAAACAACTTGAGGTTGAAATTCCAATGTTGGGACTGTCGTTTGATTGGTTGGGATGCATTTAGAGGCTGTGTGCTGAAATGTGCGGAACTGAGCAAACGATGCCAACAAATGAGGCACAATGGGCTTGCAGGAGGACAGTGCTGAGTGCTCAACAAAGAACATATAAGTCCCCCATCCAGAGTCGAGTCTACATGTGCAATGTACCTAAATAGTGTCAAGATTGATTCAGACCAGTGCAAACACAACCAGTCTCTACCATGTGCATTGGAGAATCCTGGAAAATATATCAAAGTAATATATCAGTTAGTTTATGAGCTTGATTGATGGTTAATTGGTACCTTGAGCTTGATTGGACAACCGGGAGCATGAAATGCGAGTGTCCAGACAGAATTGAAAGTTAATGCAGATGTCAAGGATCCCAGAAGTCGAAGTACCCATGAGTGCGGAAGAGAAGTTACCAGCTTTGCTGATATCTCGAGGAAGTTTCAGTTCGGGAAGGTCCGAACCCATGACTGAACCATCCCAGGAACAATGAACCGTGAACCTCATTTCGGTTCGGTCCGGCCAAAATGGGGAACCGTGGACCAAACCATGGACGAACCTGACCATTGGTCAGGTTTGAACCACGGTTCGGAATCGGTGAAGGTGAGGAATCTTGACTATAGGTGAAAACACTAAAAACCAATGGGGACTCTACAGCAAGACCTGGATATGAGAATACGACTTGACCCAAAGGACAGCTACTGAGAGAAGTTCCTTGCTAATAAAATGGAGGGAAACTCTGTCAACTAGACGGGCGCTAGTAGGCGTGAGAAGATAATGCGCGTGTGAGCAAGAGGTGCGAGGGTTGTGCGCGCGTAAGCGGAGGCGCACTTTGAGCAATAAGGGAAAGAGTCTTCAAAGAATAGCGGAAGTGCAGGTGATAGTTGATAGAGAAGTATAATCAGATTTCTAGCACTGAGGTGAAATATACACTTTGCAGTATACTGAGATAAGGGGAAAGTAGAAAAACTTGTCCTAAGGAACCCTCCCTCCTTTTAAGAAGGGGAATTGCACCCGAGAATTATGCTATGTGGCGCATCCGAGCGCAGTACTGAACCGAGTAACTATATCAACACTAAATATATTTTAAAGCCTAAGATAGGTGTTTGTATGTAAGCGCGGAGATCGGACCGAGGATACATCAATTCAATGAGATTGATAAGAATAATGCACCAGTAAATCAGCGAGGACGTAGGACAGATAGACAGACAGGAGCACAAAGACCTAGGGTGAGGTGCACGAACACGTGTGCAAGACTGATCCTATGGATAAGAGCTGGAACATATAGGGGATTATGTGGGTAAAGGGCCGCATATTCAGCATTGGGACATGTGAGTCTCTACACCGGACCACGGCAGCACTATAACTACCCACCAGATTGTGATACATTGTAATACTTGCAAAGAAGGTTGAGCTGACTACTGTTACCTAGTTGACGACCAGCAGCGTCACATTGTAATCTTAGACTGTTTTTACTCCTTCCATAATCTCTAAACAAATGCTGATCATAGATACAACATTATATGGCTGGACTGTGTTGGACCAACACCGCCTAAGGCACAAGGATGCTGAGTGTGTGTAATGTAATATTAATCTACATCAACATTTTGTCTTTTTGCAAGCCAAGCTTACCATTGCGCACTCTGACACAACTCCCTTGGTGCTGATGCTAGGTGAGTGCTTGTGATACTAGCTTGCACTGCCCAGGGGATGTAATCTCTGACTTTTTTTGATGCCCTCATAATCTCTATATAGACACCAACCCTTGAGAAAACAATATATGGCTGGACTGCATTGGACCAGCACTGCCTAAGGCACAATGGTGCTGAACCTCTGCAATGCGATACCAACATGCATCAATGCTGTTGTCTTTTGCTAGTCAAGTTTATTATTGTGCCCCACAGGTAGTACAACTGCAGCTCGGCTATGGCCTGCTCCGGTGTAGAAACAACAATACCGAGAGGAACAAATGATGCTCCAAACTGTATCTGTAAATGTTGTGAGGTCGCGCGTTGCCTAGTCTGCTATACCTGAGATGACAAGTGCGTTCGACCCTAAAGGGGAAGCGAGTGCAGCAAGGATCTGGTAGTAGGCGCTGAAGGCGCTACTGGTCGGCCAATGTGAAGCGCGGGAAAGCGCGCAGGTGCGTGCGAGGCGCGGGAAAGCGAAGGTACGCGCGAGGCGCGGGAAGCGCGCGCGCGCGTGAGCGGAAACAAGTGAGAGTAAGAGTGAGTTTGCTTAAGTGGTGATATGATGAATAACAAGAGATGTGAGTGCGAGGTGCCAAGGAATAGATTGCTACTATATTCTGCTAGGTAGTAGATGGGTAAGTGGGAGGTCAAGTTCCAAGTTGGAAAGTGGGTAATAGTATGTAATGCTGGCGCTTATATACGGCGCCTAAGCGCTGTCACGCGGAGCCGAAGCGCTACCGAGTAAGGTATGTAAAGCTATATGTAAGTAAGGGTCCATGATATAAATAAAGGTGGGATGATATGTAAATAAGGGAAATGGAAATACACGCACTAGAGAGCTTGGTGGACAGTGGATGGATGCTTCCGGAAGGCTGGCGCTATAGGGCGATCAAGCGCGGGAAAGCGCGCGCGCGTATACATCGTAAAGCGCGGGAAAGGTGCGCGCATGGCGCGCGTTGCACGGGAAAGCTGC